CTGGTGTAGTGTTGTAAGGGCTCTGGTGTAGTGTGTATGGGCTAAGGGCTCTGGTGTAGTGTGTAAGGGCTCTGGTGTAGTGTTATCTGAGGTCTCTGGTGTGGTGTGTAAGGGCTCTGGTGTAGTGTTGTAAGGGCTCTGGTGTGGTGTGTGGGGCTCTGGTGTCTGGTCTGGTGTAGTGTGTAAGGGCTCTGGTGTAGGTGTGTGGGGCTCTGGTGTATGGCTCTGGTGTGCGTGTAAGGGCTCTGGTGTAGTGTGTAAGGGCTCTGGTGTGTCTCTGGTGTTGCGTGTAAGGGCTCTGGTGTGGTGTGTGTGTGCGGCCTCTGGTGTAGTGTGTGGGGCTCTTGTAGTGTGTAAGAATGGTGTAGTGTGTGGGCTCTGGTGTAGTGTGTAAGGGCTCTGGTGTAGTGTGTAAGGGCTCTGGTGGTGTGTAGGGGCTCTTGTGTAGAAAAAAAGGCACTATAGTACAATATATCTGGACTTGGATGCATCTGATAAACTTCTATGCAATATCTCTCTCAAGGGAGGGTACAGGGGGGGGAAGGAGGAGGGAGGGTGGGGGGACGGGACGGAGGAAGGGGGGAGGGGAGGGAGGGGGCCTTATTATTGCAATATTTCAATGGTTCTGTTGTTGCATCATTTCATTGAGACACAGGATATTGTTCAGTGTTGAGATATGTAACCAATAAATGAATTGAACTTGATGGAGATTATATAGATTGGTGGTGTTATAATGGTGAGTTGTAATGTATGGTGGTGGTTGTTGTTGTTGTTGTTGTTGTTGTTGTTGTTGTTTGTGGTTGTTGTTGTTGTTGTTGTTGTTGTTGTTGTTTGTGGTGGTGGTTGTTGTTGTTGTTTGTTGTTGTTGTTGTTGTTGTTGTTGTTGTTGTTGTTTGTGGTGGTTGTTGTTGTTGTTGTTGTTATTGTTTTTATTTGTGGTTGTTGTTGCTGTTATTGTTGTTGTTATTTTTTTTGTTTATGGTTGTTGTTGTTCTTGTAGCGTCACTAAGAACTTCCAGTGTCATATAAAATCTACATTAATCTACATAATATTTTATATGGTTGTCTGTTGTGTTTTTTTTTGTATGTTTTTGTATTAGTGTTTTAGAATAGTGTTTGTTTGTGGGGTTCATGTATAAGGATTATTTTCCTCTACCTTATTTCACCTGAACAAGCCTAGCCTAACCTAACCTAACCTAACAAGTGTAAAAAAACCTGTCTAGCCTAGTCTGAGCAAAAATAATTTAACCTTGCAAACTTAACCTAATCTAACCTTCAACTCTCACTTGCTATATACAGAGGAGTGTAGAATTGGGGAAATGAGGGGATGGAGGGTGGAGGGGATGGAGGTGGGGGGATGGAGGGTGGAGGGTGGGGATGGGGGGTGGAGGGTGGGGGATGGAAGGTGGGAGAGTGCAGAGGATGGAGGGGGTGGAGGGTGGAGGGGGATGGAGGGTGGAGGGTGGGGGGTATGGAGGGTGGAGGGTGGGGGGATGGAGGGGGTGGAGGCCTGCTGCTTGTCTGGGTCGTGTTGGGTCTCCCTTAGGTAAGATATTAACCACGTCAGGTGTTGGTTGGGATGTGAGGTGTTGGCTGGGACGTCAGGTGTTGGCTGGGACGTCAGGTGTTGGCTGGGACGTCAGGTGTTGGCTGGGACGTCAGGTGTTGGTTGGGACGTCAGGTGTTGGCTGGGACGTCAGGTGTTGGCTGGGACGTCAGATGTTGGCTGGGACGTCAGATGTTGGCTGGATGAAGATATTAAGACGATGTTCGGTGGATGTAAAGCCACAAGTTGAGTCAGTCAGTCGTCTTAGCCAATTGTTAAAATCCATCAACAGAAAAAAAATTGACTGATGATTGATGAGTCTAACTGGTAATTATGTGTAACTGATGCTATTAATGGAGTCTTGAGCCCTTTATATAACTCACAACTAGAGGTGACAAACACTCCTTGACCTGATATAACGTGGTGCCTTGTTATCTAAGTGGATGACCTGGCTGACCTACCTGCATGATCTACCTGGATGACTGGGACCAATAGTGACTGGTCTTACAATTAGTGGTAGGTTTGGTGGCGTCGACTGGTCTGTGTTGTGTTATGTGAACCTTGGCTTGGCTGGTCGGCTCCTCGATGTCGTGTCCAGCGTGGCGTGAGGAATATTCGAGTCACACACACACACACACACACACACACACACACAAACACACACACACACACACACACACATATATCACAACAAACTCCACCCATCCTGTGCTACACAATGGTTGAGAATAAACACACCAAGTTTTAAACATGTTTTATATTTCGTTTGGTTAATAAACTTGTGTGTTGTCCACTGGCTGAATATATCACAGTTTTGGTCGATATATATATTTGATAACTTGGTTTTTTTTGAGTCGTGGTGGATTTGGTGGGTGAGGGTGACGGGTGAGAGAGGGGGTGAGGGGTGAAGAGAGGGGTTGAGAGGGTGAGGAGGGAAAGGGGTGACAGGTGAGA